CAATTGTGATTTTAATGACTACATTTTTTTGACATATCTTTTTGGACATTGAAGAAAGAGTAACGTACATTTCAAGCTACATTTCTGAATAAAATCACCCTCTACTTTACCGTCTTGTCATTATTCCATGTATTAAAACTTGATGAAAAAAAATCTGGAAACAAAATCTTCAGATACTTTCTTTCAAAGGTAATTGATAGAAAAATTGTTATCTTGAACTTCATTTTTTTAAAAAATCAGAGAGGCATTTGTGCCCTTATATTGAGAATGGGTGTAGAGCTTTGTTGCTTTCATCTTTGTTTAGGCGTAGCATTGCAGCATCAACATTGCAATCAAAGCATAAATATGGGTTCAATAGGAGTGTTTATTGTTTCTCAAAATCCAAAATTTCATTGAAAATACTCTCGATTTACAAGAAATCATGTAAAACACTATTTTCATAAACATGATTAATCAAGGGAAATAATTCAACAACTGGGGTTTAAAAAGCCCATGTTGTATTTCAAATAGGCCACAGGTATCCAATGATAAAAAAAATAGTTGTTCCAAATACTTTTTCAAAATTTCTTTGATGAGTAAAACAATATGCGTTTCTTTTTTTGTTGGGTATATAAGTTGTCGAAAAGTCCTTCGATATGATTTCTGATGTCTTTCGATGTAATTTCTGATTGTTAATTTTTGATTCCTATCAAAGAGGGTACAAATAATGAGAACAAATATTAAAGAATTGTGAATGAAAAATCACATGCAGTCTGAGTTTGAAACTCTAAATCATAACAATAAATAAAATAGTGTGAATTTTAACGCTATTTTTAATTCAATTAATTGAAAAAAAATGACTAAGTTAACTTTGATTGGATGATTTGCCCGGCATTGCAATGCAATGAATTGTACTGCAGCAGAGTGTAGCTTTCAGTGGAAGTAAGGTGCAGCTGGATTCAATTCTACTTGTATTTGGAGAAACACATTTATTTTACTCCCCCACCATCCACCCTCCCAAGGAAACCCTATTTATACAATTTTTCTTGTGTGATTTAATGTATGTTGTAAAATTTGCATAATGGAAGTTTGTTACAAACTTCGATAATTCAAATTATGGCCCTTTGAACAACGTAAACAAAACGCTCTTTGCTCTCTGCTTTAGATTATGCAAATTTTTAGGCAAAGCTAAGGGATAACAGGCTTGTATACTATATAAGACTTTAGAGAGGCACTCATCAGTAATCAAGTTTAGCCATGTCAAGCGCTTGCTTTCAGTTGGAGACTTTAACTCATAACACAAAAATTGCTTAGCATGCAGGACTGAAAAGCGTGTATGATTGTAATACAAAGCATATCGGTGCTTTGTTTGATTGAGTCTCTAAACCTTAACTCATAAGATAATCGTTTGATTTTACACTGTTTTTATTACCCGGACAAGTGCAACAAAGAAACACAATGTAACTTTATTATAGAGTATCGATATGATCGATTTTAAATTCTAAATGTATATAGTAAGAGAACAATCTTATCAAAGTTGATCGAGTTGTTATAATTACTAACAAACCTATTCCACCACGTCTGTTTTAAGGAAGAAGACTAGGCTAAATTGGAAATAGTTCACATTTTAAACACAATTTTCACAAACCGTAGTTGAATTCAATATTGACCATGTGTGTTTTAAATAGACTGTACATCAAGCATCAAGCAGTGCAATGCAATGCAATGCATTGCAGTGCAAATAAATCTTTATTGTAAGCAGACTTAATGCATAATGCTTAGTTGCAGAACTGTAGCTTTATGGTTTTACATATTAGTCTTTGACCATATCATGGTCACAGACTAATATATAAAACCATAACGCTACTGTTAAGGTCAAAGACTAGTATATAAGTTCATAACGCTACAGTTCTGCAGAGCTACATAATGCCCCAATCAGTTTTCGATGTTAAATTCCGCAAAAGTAACTGTTGTTTGACGAAAATTCAGCTCTTTAAGCTCTGAACAGCAATACGGTACTTCAAAGTAATCTCTCGACATAATTACTGACATGTTTATCTAGATTTAGACAGAGGACGGCCATACCCCAAAATGTAAATAAAAAAATCCATCCAATCTTTTCTTCAATTTTTGTTTTGATAAAAAACGCCGAATCATAAAAAGAAATATTAGATTCAACCTTATTTTCAATAAAATTATGTAAAACTAATGGACTTAATTTTTAAAATGACATTACATTGTGGTTTCTGAATAGTAGTTAAATTCTTTGCAAGGAAAGCTATATAAATTCTTTGCATTAATTTTTTGCAAAAAAAAAAATCCACTTATTAGACAAAGATGAGTGTTCATTTAAAGGTTATGAATATTTCCGCATACCCCAACTATAGTCGTTCAGTGAATAAAAATTATCAATATATGCAGTATATAGAGCGCAGTTGGATTCTTTTTTTTTTTTAGACAAGCTATATTAATTCCTCGCAAAAGAAAAAAAAATCCACTTATTAGACAAAGATGAGTGTTCATTTAAAGGTTATGAATTAGCAATACACTGTATTTAGGTTGTCGAAAAGTCCTTCGATATTATTTCTGATGTCCTTCAATGTAATTTCTGATTGTTAATTTTTGATTCCTATCAAAGAGTACAAATAATGAGAACAAATGTTAAAGAATTGTGAATGAACAATCACATCCAGTCTGAGTTTGAAACTATTTTAAATTCAATCAATTTAAAAAAAAATTGACAAAGTTTACTTTGATTGGATGATTTGCCCGGCATTACAATGCAATGCATTGTATTGCAGCAGAGTGTAGCTGTCGGTGGAATTATGTTCTCTTTCGCTTCGCTCAGACGAACATAAAGTATTTCATATTCTCTTTACATAAACAAAAACTCAAACACAAATATAGAGGAGGCGACAATGTTAGCCAAAATTTAATAAACTGATTTGTACAAATGTAAACGCGTCCTTAAGTGCGTCCATACAGCCCGGGAAGGAGGATAAAACACCAAGGTAACACAGGATTGGTCCAGGCAAACTGCAACATGCATCTCCACACAAGGAATGGAATCTACTTCAAAGAAACTAAGCATCAATCTGCAAAAGAATTCTATTTCATTAAATAAAAGTAAAAGAGTTTGGAAAACTGATACGTCGTGGCTAACTTGTCGAATGACAAAAGAACACAAAACACGAGTTTAAATACCCTTGGACCGGTTCACCGCGTGCCGCAAAATAGACCCCAAAAGATATTTAAATTATTAAAGCACATACGTAAGATAAATAGAAATTACCAAAGTAATACATACTGACTTGATAGCCGAATCATTATACCCGCTGCCCTGCACGCCAAAGGAACCAGGTTCAACTCCCAGGAACACCAATCATTTTTTTTTTTTTTTTTTAATAGTCATTAATTAATAATGTAACCGAAAAGAAATTTATTTATGTTCTCTTTCGCTTCGCTCAGACGAACATAAAGTATTTCATATTCTCTTTACATAAACAAAAACTCAAACACAAATATAGAGGAGGCGACAATGTTAGCCAAAATTCGAATAAAAAACGTCTGAGGGAAAATGAAAAGAAAAAATTATTTAATTACAATCCCAAATTTTTTGACACAAATAGAACCTTTTCTGTACTATCCTTAATATAACCGTCCTTTGCCGTTTCACTTTTCCACCGTCCATGAGCCTTAAAGAGTCTATCGGGAATATCTAGATTGGCTGCGGCTGAAGCACCTCCGGATCTAAGTGAGTGCACACCAAACTTTGAAGCGTCCTCTCCAACATCTTTCAATGCCTTCAAAATAAGTTCTCTGACACAAGTATAAGATATAGCTTTGTTACTTTTTGCAAGCCTATAAGAATTACATTTTTTGAAATATCTTAATGACCTAAATATAAATTCATTAGAATCGTTTTGAACACCAGCTAATTTAAGATAATCAATAAGACATTGAACGGGACACAAATCAGAGTCGAGTTTTGCAATGTGCACAATGTTACCCCTTCTGTATATGTCTGTCTTAGAGCTTCTAAGTTCAATTTCCACGTGAGTATCACAAAAAGTAATATCCGATCTCTTGATGTTGCACAGCTCTCTGGCCCTGAAAAATCCTGCATATCCAAGAACAAAGAGTAATCTAGTACGCAAATCAGATAAATCTGACAAGTTACTTCTTAAATTAAAGACTTTGGAAATAATATTAGATGTAATCGGTTGTTTCTTGTTCACTGAAGATTTTGTAAGAGTGCGCAACGCTCCCTCAAAAGTCATTTTCACAAGTTTGTCAGAACACGGATTTGGAAACAAATTTTTCTCATGATACCATTGCACAGCGTAAAAATGAGAGGTTAACACTGAAGATGTTGATTTACTCTGAACAAGATGAGAAATGAAGAGAGACACTGTTGCAGGTGATGCTGGTAAAGAAGATAATTTGTGAAATGAACACCAATGATCAAATTTAGAAAAATATGTCTTGTATTTACGTAAAGTGGACTCTGATTTTGAAGCCTCAATTAAGTCCGGTATATTCCCAGCCAGCTTAGCAATGTCCCCCTCTTCATGAGTTCTCAATTCTGCCCAATGTGAATGGTTGAAGAACTGAAATCATAAACAAACAAAACGTTAACATATAAAGATTTAATATTTTAAGAAACAGTTGAATTTAAATAGTAAGCAATTGCAGACACTTTTAAATCCTGGCTTAACTAAGCCTTAACTAGTTAAATTTAATTTTGGTTCTCAAGCCATTGAAATCATTCATCAGGCTCTCAGCCTGCTAAACAACTAATTCTGACTCTCAGCCAGTAATACACAAATAAGGCTCTCAGCCAATCAAATACAAATATCCGGCTCTCAGCCAATCATACACAAAGGCTCTCAGCCAATCATACACATGGGCTCTCAGCCATTCATTACAAATATCAGGCTCTCAGCCTGTCATAACACAAATCAAATACTCAGCCTTACAATACAAAGTCTCAGTTCTGACTCCCTGTCAGAATTCCATCTAAATGTCATAACACAAATGCACCTGAAAAAGTCTAAATATCAAAATTAACAAGGAGTACTATTACATTGGAGAAAAATTTTACTCCAGCGAAAACACTTTCTTTGTAAGACCCTGCAATGAAAAAATTTCTTGGTTTGTCATATTCAATATAGTCAATCACAAAATTTTTGAATTTTCCATCTGAATTTACCAACATGGACCAAAAAAGTGAGGATGTCCATTTTGGCACAACAAGTGTACCATGCGCTTTACACAAACCTAAATGATTAATAACATCTGGAATAAGAGAAACTGGAGGAACGATCCAAGAGTTAAATTTTTTCCAATTGAAACCAAATGCATCGACCCCAGAACTCCCTGGCGTCCAGAATTTACTAAAAAACTTTTTTACCTTGAAATTGTTACAATCTGCAAAAAGATCTACATCATAGGGCCCCCATTTTTTACTGAAAAATTGAAATATAATATCAGAAACAGACCAGTCATCAAAATCATAAACTTTGCTATAACAATCTGCTACACTATTTTCCTCTCTAGGAATCCACTCAACTTCTAATGTTACTTGATTCTGAATACAAAAAGCATAAATATTAAGTGCAATATCATGGAGCTCTTTTTTCATGCTACCAGAATTAACTATCTTAACTACATTTTGATTGTCAGTATAAAGTTTTACAGTTCTGTTGCTAATCTTATCTGTAGAAGATATTAAAGTTGTCTCTACTGCTTTCATCTCCCTCCAGGTAGAACTCTTTAGAGCTTCCACAGAAGTCCACATTTTATGCACTACACTATCTGCGAGTTCCACAATGTAACCAGCCGCTGCATACTTGCTTGCATCCGTAAAAACGATCCTTTGAGGAATGAAACTGCCTTTAAGAAAACATTTAGATGGCAAACATTGTAAATTGCGCAACCAGAAATTAAGTTCAGTCACAATTTCATCTGAAAGAACAATACAATGATCCCAAGAAACTGAATTGGCAATAACCATATGCATAACTCTCGTCATAATAGAACATACATTTCCTAAGGATTGCTGGAAAGAAATTATGTTTCCAGCTATGCTAGCTAGAACACGTGGAGTAATTTTCTCGGATGAAATAACTTCCCTGATTTTGCCAAATAATTTATCAATTTTAGATTGAGGTATGAAAAGCATACCATGTACAGTATCCCAAGAAAACCCCAACCATTCCATTGATTGACAGGGAGTCCAAATACTCTTATCCTCGTTAACCAAAAAACCTGCTGAAATTAAGTCTGCTTTAATAGCTGAAGACATAACTTTACATGATTCTAGATCGTTTGCTAACCCAAATCCATCATCTAAATAAACAACAATTTTATGACCTTTTGCTCTCCAATATTTCAACAAAGGCTTGAGCAGCTGTGTAAAAATAAAAGGAGCAGAGCTCAAACCAAAAGGAAGTACCGTGAAAGAATAATAGGTACTTTTCCAACAAAAACTCAAAAATTGAAAATGCAATGGATTTATGTCCAAATGATGATAACCGCTCTTAAGATCAAACTTGAACATAAAGTCATTTTTCTTGCAAAGTTTGATAGCGCTGCTAACACCCTCTAACTTAAATTTATTTTTTCGTACGCATTTGTTAACATGTCTAAGATCCAAAATAAGTCTTTTCTTGCCATGAGAATTTATAGAAACTGACAAAGGATTAACTATAGAAGGAACAGTACTACACCTTACAATGACTTTATTGGCTAACAAACTTCTTATTTCGTTGTCTACAAATTCCTCATGATCAAGAGAAGACTTATTGTTATGCAAAATAATAGTCTCTGGAAAACAATCAAAAGGAATACTATAACCATACTGAATAGTGTCAACTATGTATTGTTCAGCATGCAATTGTTCTTTCCAAAAAGAAATGTTTTTTACTAATCTCCCTTTAACCGTTTGTAAATTAACATTTTCTTTTTCACAAGACAAAATATCTTTTACCAGTTTAGGTTCTTTGGTTATCTGTGGAGGGTCCGGTTTGTGTTGAAGTTGGCTTGCCGATCGCGAAAGGTTGGCTCTTTTTCTTGAGGGGACAGTTGACACTCCAGTGCCCGAACCCATTGCAATACAGGCATTGGTCTGGTTGTATTCTGTATGGGCTTGGTTGTGATCCTCCGAAGTTCCCGTATGAACTAAACTGCCTGGTGTAAGGAGTAAATCTTTGCTGGAAAAATTTGCTGCTATCTGTACGAAAAGGATTATTATAATTTCTTTTGTCAAACCTTTTCCTTTTAGCCCTGGCTTCTGCTTGCCGGAGTCGTTGACTTTCCTCTGTACTCTCCGTGATTGGGTCATCTTTGTACTCTTTAGCCACATCCCAGCCGTACTTATCTGCAATTCTTATAACTTTTTTCTGGTCGTTAATACGAAGAACAGCTTTTTTGATTATCTCTTTAGCATTCAAACTATCACCAAAGTCAATAAATTTATCAATACTTTCAAAGTCACTTTGTAAATCTGTTAAGAAGTTGTACCTTTCTTTGTGATGATCCAACTTAAAATCAACCGAACTTTCTCTGGATACACAAGTTGAATTTTTTGCTTCTAACTCCTTCAAAAGCAGCTTTTTGTTCTCTGCTAAAGCTACGTCTAACTTGCGGGAAAACAATTGGAATGCCTCTGCGTTAGTAAGGTCTTCATTCAAAGTTTGCGAACGGTTGCGGCTAGCCTCATTGTTGTTAGACGGACGTCTTTTTGGCTCATGAGGAACACTTTTCCCCGGGCTACCACGTGGAGATGGCTCACTATCTGAATCGGACAGATTCATCTGTGTTTCTAACTGATACGTCGTGGCTAACTTGTCGAATGACAAAAGAACACAAAACACGAGTTTAAATACCCTTGGACCGGTTCACCGCGTGCCGCAAAATAGACCCCAAAAGATATTTAAATTATTAAAGCACATACGTAAGATAAATAGAAATTACCAAAGTAATACATACTGACTTGATAGCCGAATCATTATACCCGCTGCCCTGCACGCCAAAGGAACCAGGTTCAACTCCCAGGAACACCAATCATTTTTTTTTTTTTTTTTTTTTAATAGTCATTAATTAATAATGTAACCGAAAAGAAATTTATGTAAGTTGCAGCTGAATTCAATTCTACATGTATTTGGACAAGCACAGTTATTTTACTCCCCCACCATCCACCCTTCCAGGGACACCCTATTTATACAATTTTTCTTGTGCGATTTAATGTATGTTGTAAAATTTGCATAATGGAAGTTTGTTACAAAGTTCGGTAATTCAAATTATGGCCCTTTGAACAACGTAAACAAAACGCTCTTTGCTCTCTGCTTTAGAATATGCAAATATTTAGGCAAAGCTAACGGATAACAGGCTTGTATACTATATAAGACTTTATGGAGGCACTCATCAGTAATCAAGGTTAGCCATGTCAAGCGCTTGCTTTTGGTTGCAGAGTTTATCTCACAACACAAGAAATGCTAAGCATGCAGGACTGAAAAGCGAGTTTGATTGTTATGCAAAGCATATCGGTGCATTGTTTGATTGAGTCTCTAAACTTTAACTCATAAGTTAATCGTTTGATTTTACACTGTTTTTACTACCCGGACAAGTGCAACAAAGAAACACAACTTAACTTTATTATAAAGTATCGATATGATCGATTCTAATTTTTGTTCTGAAATAGAGTTTCAAAAACCAGACTGGATGTGATTGTTCATTCACAGTTCTTTAATATTTGTTCTCATTATTTGTACAATTTTAAGGGAATCAAAAATTAACAATCAGAATGCGAAAACATTCAGAATCTTTAAACGAACACCCATCTTTGACTGATGAGTGGATTTTTGTTTCTTTTGCGAGGAATTCATATAGCTTGCCTAAAAAAAATAATTTAACTGCACTCTATGTACTGTATATTTTGATATTTTTTTTCACTGAACGACTATAGTTGGTGTATGCGGAAACATTCAGAAATTTAAATGAACACTCACCTTTGACTATACTGAGTGGATTTTTTTTATACCCCCCGCTTGAAAAGCGGGAGGGTATATAGTAATCGTTAATTCCGTCCATCCGTCTGTACGTCCGTCCGTCCGTCCGTCCGTCTGTTACGCTTTGGGGTACCCATCTCTTATCCGCAACTCCTCTCATACCACTGAATGAAATTTGATGAAACTTTCACAGAATCTTTATTACATATTGCCATTGTGCACCTCCTATTTTACTTTTTGATCCTACACATATTTTGGGTTTCCCGGCCACAGGAAAACGTGGACTTTTCACCAGTTATAACCATATGGGAGGCGGGGGGTATCATTTAGTGAGCTCATCGCTCACAGTACCTCTAGTTTCTTTTGCAAGGAATTAATACAGCTTGCCTTAAGAAGAATTTAACTACTCTCCAGAAACCACAATCATTGTGACAATGTAATGTCATTTTAAAAATGAAGTCCAAATTAGTTTTACATAATTTTACATGTGTATTGATAATAAGGTTGAATCTAATATTTCTTTTTATGATTCGGCGTTTTTTATCAAAACAAAATATGAAGAAAAATTGGATGGAATATCTTTATTTAAATTTTGGGGTATGGCCGTTCTCTGTATAAATCAAGATAAACATGTCAGTAATTATGTCGAGAGATTACTTTGAAGTCCCGTATTGTTGTTCAGAGCTTAAAGAGCTGAGTTCTCGTCGAACAACAGTTACTTTTGCGGAATTTAACATCGAAAACTGATTGGAGCATTATGTAGCTCTGCAGAACTGTAGCGTTATGAATTTATGTACTAGTCTTTGACCTTAACTGTAGCGTTATGGTTTTATATATTAGTCAGTGACCATGATATGGTCAAAGACTAATATATAAAACCATAAAGCTACAGTTCTGCAACTAAGCATTATGCATTAAGTCTGCTTTTAATAAAGATATATTTGCACTCCAATGCGTTGCATTGCACTGCTTGAGGTACAGTCTATTTAAAACACACATGGTCAATATTGTATTCAAATACGGTTTGTGAAAATTGTGTTTAAAACGTGAACTATTTCCAATTTAGCCTAGTCTTCTTCCTTAAAACAGACATGGTGGAATAGGTTTGTTAGTAATAACTCGATCAACTTTGATAAGATTGTTCTCTTACTATATACATTTAGAATATAAAATAGTGTGAATTGTCAATCCTATCTTTAATTCAATTGATTAAAAAAAAATTGACCAACTTTACTTTCATTGAATGATTTGCCCGGCATTACAATGTAATGCATTATTTTGCAGCAGAGTGTAGCTGTGAGTGGAAGTAGATTCAATTAGATTCAATTCTACTTGTATTTGGACAAGCACAGTTATTTTACTCCCCCACCATCCACCCTTCCAAGGACACCCTATTTATACATTTTGCCTTGTGCGATTTAATGTATGTTGTAAAATTTGCATAATGGAAGTTTGTTACAAAGACCTTATTTATACATTTTTTCTTGTGCGATTTAATGTATGTTGTAAAATTTGCATAATGGAAGTTTGTTACAAAATTCGATATTTCAAATTACGGCCCTTTAATCAACGTAGACAAACCGATCTATGCTCTCTGCTTTAGATTATGCAAATGTTTAGGCAAAACTCATGGATAACAAGCTTGTATACTATATAAGACTTTAGAGAGTCACTCCTCAGTAAACTAGTTTTGCCATGTCAAGAGCTTTTCATTTGGTTGGTGAGTTTATCTCACTACACAAGAAATGCTAAGCAGGCAGGATTGAATATTGCGTTTGATTGTTATACAAAGCATATTGGTGCTTTGCTTGATTGAGACTCTAAATGTGAACTCATAAGTCAAACGTTTGAATTTACACTATTTTGACTACCCGGGCAAGTGCAACAAAGAAACAAAATGTAACTTTATTATAAAGTATCGATATGATCATTTCTAAATTCTAAATGTATATAGTAAGAGAACAATCTTATCAAAGTTTATGGAGTAATTATTAAGAAATCTATTCCACCACGTCTATTTTATGGAAGAAGACTAGGCAAAATTGGAAATAGTTTACATTTTTAACATGATTCTCACAAATTGTAGTTGCATTAAATATTGACCATGTACATGTATGTTTTAAACAGACTGTACGTCAAGCAGTACAATGCATGCAGTATCCTGGTATTGAAGTGCATGGATGTTTTGCATAATGCTTAGCTGCAGAACTGTAGCTTTATGGTTTTATATCTTAGTCTTTGACCATATGATGGTCACAGACTAATATATAAAACCATAACGCTACAGTTATGGTCAAAGACTAGTATATAAATTCATTTAATTCAAATGGCTACAGTTCTGCAGAGCTGCATAATGCTGAAATCAGTTTCGATATAAAATACCGCAAAAGTAACTGTTGTTTGACGAGAACTCAGCTCTTTAAGCCCTGAAGAGCAATACGGCACTTCATAGTAATCTCTCGACATAATTGCTGACATGTTTATCTAGATTCATACGGAGATCTGCCATACCCTAAAATGTATATTAAATTATTCCATCCAATCTTTTCTTCAATTTTTGTTTTGAAAAAGAACGCTGAATCGTAAAAAAAAGAAATGTTGGATTCAACCTTATTATTTTCAATAAAATGATGTAAAATTAATTTGGACTTCATTTTTTAACTGACATTACATTGTGGTTTCTGGAGAGTAGTTTTAAATTCTTCTTAAGGCAAGCTGTATCAATTCCTTGCAAAAGAAAAAAATATCCACTCAGTATAGTCAAAGATGAGTGTTCATTTAAATTTCTGAATGTTTCCGCATACCCCAACTATAGTCGTTCAGTGAAAAAAAATTATCAAAATATACAGTATATAGAGTGCAGTTAAATTATTTTTTTTAGGCAAGCTATATGAATTCCTCGCAAAAGAAAAAAAAATCCACTCACCAGTCAAAGATGGGTGTTCATTTAAAGATTCCGAATGTTTTCGCATACCCAAACTGGTCATTCGATGAATAAAAATTAGCAATATTTAGGTTGTCGAAAAGTCCTTCGATATTATTTGTGATGTCCTTCAATGTAATTTCTGATTGTTAATTTTTGATTCCTTTCAAAGTGTACAAATAATGAGAACATATATTAAAGAATTGTGAATGAACAATCACATCCAGTCTGGTTTTTGAAACTCTCTTTCAGAACAATAAATAAAATAGTGTGAATTGTCAATCCTATTTTTAATTCAATTGATTAAAAAAAAAAAGACAAAGTTTACTTTGATTGGATGATTTGCCCGGATTACAATGTAATGCATTATTATTTTGCAGCAGAGTGTAGCTGTCAGTGGAAGTAGATTCAATTAGATTCAATTCTACTTATATTTGGACAAGCACAGTTATTTTAATCCCCTACCATCCACCCTTCCAGGGACACCTTATTTATACAATTTTTCATGTGCGATTTAATGTATGTTGTAAAATTTGCATAATGGAAGTTTGTTACAAAGTTCGATAATTCAAATTACGGCCCTTTGAACAACGTAGACAAAACGCTCCTTGCTCTCTGCTTTAGATTATGCAAATGTTTAGTCAAAGCTAATGGATAACAAGCTTGTATACTATATATTAAAACATTGCTGTGACATCATTCCTTTGTTCTTGCAGTCTAAAAATTTACCTGTGGCAGTCCGAATTATTTACTCAATGTTTAAAGGAAAAGATCTCTATTGTATTACTCCAGGAAACCCATTTTAATAATATAAATAACGTTTTAGCTATAAAGTCTATATTTAATACAGATAAATGTTATTTTAGCTTTGGATCTAACAGAAGTAGAGGAGTCGGAATAATTATTTTAAATCCTGATATTGTAGTTAGTAAATTTCATTTAGATATGGATGGTAGGTTAGTGTATGTAGATGTTATTTATAATGATATGAATTATAGAATTATTAACATTTATGCTCCTAATAATGAGAAAGACAGAATTATGTTTTTTGAAGATTTATATCCTTTATTATTATGTAATAAGCATTTAATAATGGGGGGAGATTTTAATTGTGTTTTAAATACAAAAT